ACAGAACCACTGAGAACTTGGGAATGAGGAGAGAAACAATGTCACCAGGGCCTGGGATAGGAGATTGAGGAAAGGGTGGGCTGAATTAGGAGACACATCTTGAGCAGTGACAAAAGTAGCACAGGAAGAGTGACATTTCAGTCTTGTGGTGGTGGAAGGGAAAGGCTCACTTTGAACTTTTGCTTGCGTATTGCCTGATGATCTCAACACTTGGGATCAAAGACTGGTCACTGAATTTGCATTTGCTATTAGCAGTGTCTCATTTCAGGACTGTTTCTTAGAGCTCCCAGAAGTCAGTCCCCTCACTCCCATCCTCCAAGCCAGTGGTGGCCTACCTGTGGCTCCGGAGCCACATGCGGCTCCTTGTATAGGCACCGACTCCAGGACTGGAGCTACAGGTGCCAACTTTCCAATGTGCTGGGGGGTGCTCACTGCTCAACCCCTGGTTCTGCCACAGGCCCTGACCGCACTCCACCTCTTCCTGCCCCCTCCCCTGAGCCTGCCATGCTCTTGCTCCTCCCTCTCCGAGCCTCCTGCACACCACCAAACAGCTGATCGGGAGGGGGAGTGGCTGCCGGTGGGTGGGAGGGAGGCGCTGGGAGCGGGGGCAGGGGGTAGAGCTGATGGGGGGGTGGGCAGGGCTGCTGATGTATTACTATGGCTCTTTGGCAATGTACATTGGTAAATTCTGGCTCCTTCTCATGGTCAGGTTGGCCACCCCTGCTCCAAGCAGTGACTATTGTGTATGGTGGAGTCCAGCTTTTTGTCCTTTCCACAGATTGTGCCTCCTCTCCTGCTCCCCGGCTCCCCACTGGTGTCTTGGTGCTGTCTGATCTCTGATTCATATTTAGTAGAATCCCAGAACTTATTCCTTCTAGCCCTTTCTTGTGAAGCCTTCCAGCGTAGAAAACCTACATGATAGCAAACATATAAAAGGTACTGGGTATGTTCAGGCAGAGGAGTTTTTCACACCAGCTGGCCATGAGTCCTTTGCAGGTGCAATGATTTACTTACAAGTGCCCTGCTCATTTCTAGAAGGCAAAGTTGTGGTGATTATTGAGCATTTTACATGTTGGATGGGGCATTTGTTTTGTCTCGCACGAGGCAAGTGCAGTAGGGAAAGTATTGGGGAAAGAGGAAGTATTGGTATGTCTCACATGTTCCCTACAATCAATAGGAGATTGAATTGTGTGACAGGGAGTCAACAGATCTGGGTTATAGCCTTAGCTCTGCCACAGACTTCCTGAGTGACTTGGGGGAATGTCACTTAACCTCGTGGTGCTTCAATTTCTCCTTCAGTTAAGTGGAGATGGTACCTTCCCCACAGGCACGTTGTGAGGGTTAATGCATTAGCAGTTGTAATAGGGTTTGAAATTATGGGATGGAAAGTGCTATAGAAATATAAAATATTATTAACAGCAGAGGGTGTCATAGAACCTACTAGTGGTAGCTCTATGGCAGTTTTTTAGATAGGGCACAATAACTTGCCTTAGCTCTGCATGTGCTCATTAACTGAGAGCTCTTTGGAAAGTTCCCTTCAGTGCCATCCAGTGGCTGATAGGCTGTTCAATTAAGTCCTGCAGCTGCTGCTACTTCAGAGCTCCCTGCTGGAATGTCCTTACATGGATTCATCATCTGGAAGATCTCTTTAAAATTGGTTGTGAATGGTGCATAAAACTAGGATGAAGGTAGATTTTTTGTTTATTTTCTCTGAATGGGGTAGTGGCCTACTGATTAGTTTCTCCATTCCCAGCCTATATCAGAAGGCTTTCATCTAACACTTTAGTTGAATCTTCCTCGACATGCCTTTTCATGTGGAATCTAATCAAGACGACTGGGCCAAGCAGTTACCCTTGGCATGCTGGCAGACAGAAACTGCATCTAAGCTTCCTCTGGGTATGTGCTATTCCATGTAGGTTTACTGCTATTGAATACAGAGATTATCATGTCCTCACAAACTGGCACATCACAGCAAAAATATATTAGTTGAAATTATTTTTTAACTTGACCTTGAAAACAATTTCTGGATCAGGAAAAGTGTCGCACATGGGAGGGCTGGAGTCAAATATTGTAATTGGAATTCAGAAGCCAGTGGCTGGATAACTTCATGAAGATCAATAGTAACAGTTGTAGAGAGATGCTGAGATAGGATAATCAATTCTCAGGTTTCAGGGCATAAACTGATATCTGTGGAGTCAAGAAGGACTTCTTAAACCGTGTGCACTACTGACTAGATCCATTATAGGTTTTTTCCCCTCTTCCTCTGAAGCATCAGTGAGTGGTCACTGGCAGAGGTGGGATGCCCAGCCAGATGGACCAGTGACCTATTCCAGTACCAAAACTAGACATTCCTATGTAACAACTTCAGATACTGAAACAAAACGAAGGGTAAATAATTGCATGGTTTCCACTGGTCTCTATTTGCAAATGTATCAAATAGCAAACAAAATGGGTTGGAAGCTCTGGCCTCACCCAGTTTTAAAAAAACACCACCTCTCATGTAGACAAGGCCTATGGGCTAATCCACACTGAAAGTTATACCGGTAAACCCTAATTTGAGAATTAAAACCAATATAGTTATTCTAGTATAAATCCCTGTATGGACACTCTTATTCCAGTATAAGGATATGCCTATGCTACAGCAGCATAGTTATGGTGCTGCAGCTGTGCTCCAGTAGTGTAGGGAGCTGAGGGGTGAAAACATTCCTACACTGACAGATTGGGTTTTTTCTGTTGATGTAGTTAATGCACCTCTCTGGGAGGTGGGAGCTACGTTGATGGAAGAATTCAAGCTGCATCTACAGTGAACATTTGGTTGACCTGACTACATTGCACTGGGCATGAGCTATGTACTGTAGCTAGATTGAAGTTTTAAGTATAGACCAGGCCTAACAGTGTCTTTTTTCCAATTTAGCTTATGTCACATTGGAAAGGGTTTAAGATAAACCAGAAAAAGCCACTCTGAAACTGGAATAAGAGTGTCCACACAGGGAGTTTTGCTGGTACAATTATACTGATTTAAGTGTATTGGTAAAATTATACCAATACAACTGGTAGAACTTTCCTGTGTCAACACACCTGAAGCAACAGGTAACAGAGTAGGAAAAAATGGTCAGTTTTCAAGATGACGACAAATGATTAACACTGGTGCATGTTTAGATTTCTTTCTAGGTTCAATGTTGTTTATTAATTATCTGGAAAAGGAGATGAACAGTGAGGTGGCAAACGTTGCACCTGACATCAAATTATTTATTCAGGACTAGCTAGTCAAATTATCTAGTCAAGACTAGATAAGAATGACAAACTCCAGATGTACCTAACAAAGACAGGTAAATGGGAGCCCAGTGGTAAATGGAAATTAAATATTAAGAAATGCCAGGAAAAGCAAATTTGAAGGAATGATTTGAACTACTCATACACATTGCTGGGTTTTAAGTCAACTGTTAAATCACATGGGAAGACGATCTGGTCATTATGTATAGTCAGCAAAAACCTCTTCATAATGTGTTGCAGTGGACAGAAAAACAAGTAAAGTTGTATCATATAAAGAACAGGCCTGAAAATATTTTAATTAGGGCTGTCAAATGATTAAAAGAATAATCACAATTAATTGTGAGATTAAAAAAGTCACGATTAATCACAGTTTTAATCACACAGTTAAACAATAATAGAATACCAATTTAAATATTTTTGGATTTTGTTTTTTACATTTTCAAATATATTGATTTGATTGATTTCAGGTGACATTGTAAATAAGAAGCAGACAGCATTATCTCCTGTAAATGTAAACAAACTTGTCTTAGCAATTGGTTGAACAAGCAGTAGGACTGAGTGGACTTGTAGGCTCTGCAGTTTTATATTTTGTTTTTGAGGGCAGTTATGTAAAAAATATGTCTACATGTGTAAGTTGTACTTTCACAATAAAGAGATTGCACTCCAGTACCTGTATGAGGTAAATTGAAAAATACTATTTATTTTGTTTCTTTTTACAGTGTAAATATTTATAATAAAACAAATATAAAGTGAGCACTATACACTGTGTATTCTGTGTTGGGACTGAGATCTATAGATTTAAAAATGTAGAAAACATCAAAATATTTATAATAAATTTAAATTGATATTCTTTTATTAATGGTGTGATTAAAACGATGAGTACTTGCAACTTTTTAAAATCTAGTTAATTTGGTTTCTGTTATTTGCTTCAGGTACCTGTAGCTAATTGACAGCCCTAATTTTCATGCCATTATGTAAGTTGAGAGTTTGTCCTCACCTAGAGTGCTGTATTCACTTTTGGTCACCCTACCTCAAAAAAGATGTAGTAGAAATGGAGATAGTTCCGAGCCAGGCAGTGAAAATGAGTAGAGATCTGGACAGATTTATGTATGAAGAGAGACTGAAACGATTGGGACTGTGTAGTCCAGCTCGGGGACAAACAATTGGGGCTATGCCAAAGATACACATCTCAGGGACTAGTAAGCTACGCACATGAGGTGGCTCCTGTCACTCATAACCTTAGAACGTGCAGACATGCCAGGAAGTTAAAAGGCAACACACGTTGAAAACTACCACGGGGCAGCTAAGGCAGGCACGGATCTCACCGCCCCAGGGCTCAAGAGCTGAGTGGGGTTCACCATTCAGGGACCATTACACAAAGCAGCGGCGGGTGTGCCCGTGCTGGACGTTGAACCAGCCACCCTGCTGGGGCAGGGGAGACTCCGCCCCTAGGGACAGAACTGCCCCAGACTCCCCCTGCCCCACCCCACCCTCTGGGCACCCAGGCTCGAAGTACCCTCTGCTTTGTGTGTGACCCCGCCCCGCCCCATTCCCGAAGGTTGCCGAGGCCCCGCCCCTCCCCATTCCCGAAGGTTGCCGAGCGGGGGTCGTGCCGCCTCGGCTCTCGAGCTGGCGTTTCCGGAGATAGCCGAGGGGCTCCGGCCCCTCCCCTCCCCGGCTGCTGCTCCCGCCGCCGCCTCCCCCCCTCCCGTGGCCGGCCCGACTAGCTCGGCAGAGCGGCTGCTGCGGGGCGGACTGTGCTGCTCCTGAGCCGCCGGAGCCCGCTCCCTGACCCTTGCCCCGGCTGCGCCGGGCCCGCAGCGACACCGGGCTATCGCGACAAGCGGGGACCCTATCGCCAGTGTGCGGCTGCGGCGGCTCCCCCAGGGGACGCGGGGCGGCCGGGGGGTCCGGCTCGGATGGCGGAGGGGACCCAGCCCCAGCAGCAGCAGCTTCTCCCCGGCGGCGGAGCCCCCCGGGGCGTGAAGCGGGAGCCGGAGCTGGAGCAGCCCATGCCCGGCGGGGACGGCGCCGAGACCGGCCACAGCAAGCGGCTGAGGACAGAGGCGGAGGCGGGCGGCGGCGGCGGCATGCAGGTAGCGGGGCCCCGGGCCGAGCGGGCAGGCTGCGCTGGGGGGCCGGCAGGCGGAGCCGGAGCGGGAGGGGGGGTCGGTGCAGGCTCGGGGGGCACCCGCCAGCTGGGGACACGTAACTGGGTTGTGTGGGTCAGCGAGAGCCTTGCATCGGAGGAGCGGCGGGATCGGGACCAGGACCAGATCCTCTGGGGGCACCCGGTCGGGCCGATGACCGCGGGGACCGGCTCGGGAGAGCGGGGGGAAAGGAGCCGGCCAGGTAGGCTGCGGGAAGGAGGAGGCCGGTGCTGACCTGGGCAGGGATGGGACACTCTCCGGAGCCGGGGGGCATGGGCTGGCCCAGGACAGGTAGGGGAATGAGATTGGAGGGCGATGTGGAGTTGATTTGGGTCGTGGGTCAATTCCCCACCAGCAGCTTCATGTTCCCTGCAGCAGAAATGAAGCCAGTTTTCCGAGAGGTGTTTTCGCTCTTCCTTGTCCAGTGCCGAACATAATCCAAAAAGTTACTGATTCTAATGGAGAGTACAGTGCTGATTCTGGAGAGTGCCCCTAAGGATATCAGTGTTTCGATTAAAGGCACACTTAGTTTTCAAACTGTTATTTTTGCTAGCACTCTCTTAAATAATGGGGCTTTTTTTTTTTAATTCCTTTAAAAACAAATATATTCAGGTTTTTGTTTGGTTGTTTCCCCTGTTCTATTGATGTTTTGTAAGGGTCTTCTCAACAATGAAGAAACTGATGGGGCTATATAAGAGAAATTGTGAAACTGACCACATGCAAAGTGATTTCAAATGCACAATGTAAACAAACTGGATAAAAATAAAGACATATTTTGTTCATCTAGTTGTTAATAGTAATCTGAGGTATTATTTATAACAAGAGAATGTATAGGGTTTTCAGACCTGATATTTTCAAGTTGATGTCTTTTACTGTTCCATATGCCTATTTATTAAAAAAAAATTAACACAACCTTAAAAATACGCCATTCCATCCTATAGTTTTGATTTTTAAGTACTGACTTTTCTGATGTTAAAGGTGTAGTAATATCTAAAACTGCAAAGACTGTTGTAGAATTGTTGGTATCCAATGGGGGGGCTGCCCTCCATTAACATATTTTCTTTTGCCAAATCACTATGTCTGTTGCACTGAGTCACTGGATGCCTATTTCTATCTTGGGTGCCTCAGATTGGTGACAGCTGCTTATTGTGGACTTCATTTACTACTTTTGTTGTTGTTGCTGTTTCTTCTGCTTTTTCCAGTTTTTAATGAATGGGAGAATATAGAAAATAGGAGTTCAGTGCTAGTTTACAGGATGGGAAGAGGCATTTTGGGGTTGGAGTACTAGTGTATGGAGCAGAGGTGGCTTGGATAACATGAGGGAACAAGGAGGATCTGGTCTGTAATCTTAGAGCCTACTCTCCCATAGATATAGATGGGCTTGAGTTTATGAATTCACATGGGTACGTCATCACAATGTACTATTTTAATTTATCAAGGGTACATTTCTTCTGGGGACAGTCTTGTTTCTGTTTGTTCTTCACTGGGCCTTTCATTCCCACACGGCTGGATACCTCCCTCTGATTGTAGCTTCTGTGTACTGTATCACAGTCTGTGTAATGGCAGCGCTGCCCTGGGAGATGCTACGGATGGGAGTGGCAAAGGCAAATGGTTCGGCCATTGTGCATGTGTGTTTCTAATAATCAATGACACTTAGCCAGATCTTGCTCTTGTGTGTTTGTAAATAATGTCTAATTGGAGGTGCAGCTGATAAACAAGAGAGGGTATTTCTGCATCATATGTGGGTTGTTCCCAGGATTGGCAAAAAGAGCACTACCACTTATTATTAGTGTTTGAAGGCAGACATGTCAACACACGAAAGAGTCTTCTATCTTCTTGCCTCTGTATGTTTTGATCATCATTAATGAAATGTTCTCTCCTTTTTCAGATGCATTTGTTTGGAGTGTTTTTATTTTTATTTTCTCTCTGGAGATATTTTACACAATGTGTTTCTGCTAGAGAAGTAAGCAGGTGGTCTCAGTGCTTCTTGTGCTATTTCTTGCACTGGATGTGTTGGAACTCTTTGAAAACAACGTGATTTATTCATCATATTTTTTTCTGCTCTTATTCCTGCTTGGGTTTGTGGTTCTTGTTAATAGTCTCTGAAGGGAGATTTGTGTCCCATTTAACATGTTTCTCTCCTGACCCCTTCCCAAGTGCCAACACAATTTTTCTTCACTTTTATTTTCTGGTTATTTCCAGATTGGATGGTGGAGACTTTTTTTTTAACTACCTTGCAGCAGGAAGTATTTGTTTGGAGATCTCCTGTATCTGGCCCTTCCTGGTTCGTTCTCTCTCTCTCTGTCTTGTCACACTCAACCCCCATTTTCCCTCGTATCCCTCCTTTCTCACACCATTATATCAACTGAACTTGATTTGGAACATCACACATTCAATTTGTAATGCCCCCTGCTCCTCCAGGGGCTGCCAGGAAGCACACACTTCCCTCTTCATTCCTGGTTGCCATGATATTTTCCCTGGTATAAAGGTCTTGACGTGTGAAGACTATGCGTGAGTGCACTGGAAAAGCTGCTCATAATAGAAGGGAAACTTGTATATTGCATCTAGCTTGATAATTATGAATGAATACATGAACAGTCTGATATGAACTTCTTCCATCTTTTAGGAGTTGAAAGCCAGGACATATGTCGTTGTTCTTGTGTACACACATGAGATGCACTGGTTTGCTTAAATAATGGTGGCTAATTTGGTTTACAGTTAGTTTACCAATATGTTTGTTCACACAGGCGTTTGCTCTGGTTTAAATAAACTCAGGTTTTAAATTGAACTGGTGCAACTTTTGCATATGAAAAAGGCCCACCTAAATTTGGGCAGGGAATGTATTTTTGTTATGTGTGTGTACAGTGCCTATCGTAATAGGACCCTATTCCCTGATTGGGGCCTTTAAGTGCTACCACAATACAAATATTAAATAATAATATATATGAATGTTTTCCATACAGGTAATGTAGGCAGACATACAATTCTAGCAACACAGGAAAAAAATTACAGTAAAAGTCCTTTTGATCTGAAGTTTCACATGATTTTTAGGCCAGACGAGAGTGGTTTGTTTGTTTTTTTGGAAGGTTTTTTTTTGGTGGTTGGGAGTGGGCCAGTGGAAAGTTTGAGGCTAATCAGACAAGTAATTTTTGAGTTATTGTTTTTAGAAAAAATGGTGGTTCTTAATGTTTTGGAAATTTATCCTTATAACTAAATGCCTTAATGCAAAAACTTAGTACTTGATTTTCCATCACGAGAAAGAGTGCCCAGACACTTTTAACTTTTGAAGTCACTAATTTTTTAGCAAATCCTCCATGTAAAAGTTAGGCATGATGCTCGCAGAAGTTGTGAATTGCACATATATAGGATCTGTAAGTATCGGAGGTTTTATGGAAGCTAGAAATAATGTGAAACCAGTGACCTTACGTTGTGGGTCCTGCAGGTCTTTTACAGTCTCTGGTTACTATTCCAGAGGTACTAAGCTTTGTAGCTGTTGTCTTCAAAATGTTGAGACTCTGTGCCTGTAGAGCTTGTAAAGGTTGTGAAGGGGTCCTGAACTGCCATATCTATCACAATTTCCTTTATGTTAAAGCATTACATATTAATGTCACCGTTAGGTAGACAGTGAATCAGAATAAGGAAGAAGAGCGTAATGTTGTAATAAATCAACTCCCAATTACTGAAAAATCGTAACTCTTCCATAAACCTAATGATGCTTTTTTGTCTGTTTATATAGAATTGAAAAACTAGGTCACAAAGAGAGACTCAAGATAGTAACTGGATATTGAGAGGCTAATGCTGGGGACAAAGTGTGCGTTAGGTGCTAATGTAACCCCTAAGTATATTGAGTTTCTTATTCTTCACTCTCTGTCTCAGCCCTGGCACTAGCAGACAGCTTACACAGTTAGGGTTTCATTATCTAATCCATCTCTGATCAGCCTGGATAAGCCCTGTTTGGCCAGTGCTGATCTTGTTAGTAGGGTGGTGTAAAGCCGCTTGAGCTGGGATTGGGACAAATCGGATCATAGCTGGTATCTGAATCGGACATATTTCTGTTAATCAGGCTGTGGGAGGGGGAAAGAATTAGCTGCAGCAGAAGGTCCAACATAAGCTGCTTCTGTCTCCCTGTGGCCTGTAAGTGGCATATCTGCTGTACTGGGCCAGTAATGTGTCCTGGGAGGGCTTGGATGCGTTTGCAAACTTTTTAAACAGAGTCCCAAGTGCATTGTTGCTTCATCTATTAACCATTTAAATACTGTGGTGTAAGAATGTAACTTTCTTTTCTGGGGGTTTTGCTGTTCCGAAGTAGTGATTCATTGGTTCACTTGAGCACCAGTCCCTCTGCTTGACCTTGATCCACTACTCCAAGAGGTTGCTTGTTGTTCTGATTGAAGGAAGAGTGCCACTGAGACAAGCACATCTTTTATTTTTGTGCTGGGTTGGAGGAGAGAAATGGGGCATTGAACTGGGAAGTGTGCACTCTTTCTCCTTCTCTAGGAGAAAATGAGGGGAGAAGATTGGAACTGAAAAACATCATTAGCATGGAAAACATTGAGTTGGACATGTCCTCCCTGCCCTCTTCATTGTGGCATTAAAGGAATGCCAGCCAAGTGGGATGCACAGGTTCTTGGCCACCGCTGGAGAAAATGTCCAAGTGCTTCTCTTCTGATTGGCCTGTGAAGGGGCTGAATTACTCACCCACACTACCCTTTTGTGTTTTCCACTTAATTTTGGGGGTAACTATCTATCTGAATTTGCCTTGTTTTGTGAATTAAAATATTTTTGCTTCTGTGGATGAGGAACCTGGTACTGGTGGTGGTGGTGGTACTATGAATCTGCTAGTAAAATCTGTCTGGAGACTTTATTTTACAGCACATTTCTTTTGGGAACGACCCATATGGCACCTGCATTCAGTATCTCTGTGAGGCAGGTAAAAGGAATTGCCT